AAACTGGTTTATTCTTTCCGAATATAACTTTACGATACACTTAATTTCAACAATCGCGACTAAAACAAACGCTATAACAACGAACGTGCTCAATAATACTCTCTGACAGCAGATCAATTACTCACTGTCTACACACACATTAATCGTCCCGTCACGTTTCACCCTCTTTTATATACCAGACTACCCTATATCTAGTAAATGCTAGAGTATTCGCCAAGGTACAGGATAGTTCTAGAAAGCAGAGAGCGTGAGAATAGTCACGTGATCTCGCTGACGCAACAATATATATGCTTGTTACAATGAGCCACAGAAAGCGCTAAGAGCGTATTCAGCTTGATAATGGCATTTTTATCAGTAACAACGTGTAAAAGTTAAACATACGATAATGAAACAATAGCTAATTGAAGCACAACATAGAAACTTAAGAGAATTTATTCTCCGATCTTATACAAGTATAAATCAGGTTAGCTGAAGGGGTCGACTTTGTTAAGAATTCCATGTGTGTCTTGAAAGAGAATCTAGTGATGAACAGGTATCAAATCATCTCCCAATGGGTCAGCAGTAAGCTTAGGGAGTTACAACGCTAAAATTCGGTGTTCAATTCCACATAGAGGAATAGAGCTAGCACAGGTAGTGCACTGTGTGGCTTTGCGTTAAAACAAACAAGACTTTGTCTCGGGTCTTGAAACGTCTAGCGTATTTACATGCAAAAACTAACCACATAATTAGTGATATGAGAGAACCTCAGTTAAGCTGTATAGCTTGTTATATAGATTTTTAAGATAAGCTTGGTTCTGATAAGCATGGTTTTAATATATAGAAATAATCTCGCGCTATAGAAGACTTGCAAATCTGACACACATCTTGTGATGTACAGGATCTAATGATGTGCAAGGATATTTTTGTTATTCGGTGTACAAGTTTTGTTTGTGCTAATTCAATTAAGAAATATAACATTTGGAAAGATACATCCTGGTCCTAAAATCCAATCCGTTATAAGGTACTACCATTCCCAGCTACATTTATGTCATTCATATACAATATTTCATAATATATGCTAAACTAATTTATTATATATATATACACATATATATATATATATGTGTGTGTGTGTACGTGTGTGCTTTATAAAGTGAAATAAACCTACTCGTTGCTAAGCCCTAAAATGTATACCTAAAACTTAGACCTTTACCATAAAAAAAGGAAAAAAGACTTAAATCTAAAACTAACTTACCATGGTTAACTTAGTGGTGAGTGAACTAAGTAAAAAACGTAATTTGGATTTCTCACTGATACGACCTCAAGGAGTCAGCGGTGAGTCACTTGTGTGGTGTTATGCGTCTAAACCACTGAACAAGGAGACAAGCCGTTGCTACCCAGCGAAAAATCCCTTTTTCTATTGGTCACTTACTGTCATAGCGTCAACAAGGCAGTTAGCGATTGGACGATGGATTGCTACGTATCTGTGTAGCTGTCTGGTAACGGGAACAGTATACACGTAGACTATATGGAAGTTCTTAAAAACAACAAAAAGTGTTTGATTTGAATTACAGTTCTTCAAGAGAAGACAAAAAAATATACGGGTTGTTAACCTGCGCGTAGTTGCTAAAAATATATAAAAATAACCTTAGGTTCTAGTTTTTCTCAAGAATCTGTTTTATTCAGTTATTTAATCTAATTCACAGTGTAGCAGTACTGTCATGAAAACTGATGATGTAAATAGAGTCTCGATCACCACTATGTTTGTCGTATCCCAGCTGGCCTGATGAGCCCTGGTATTAGCCGAAAGGCCCCGTCGGCACTTTCACTCATAATTTATTAGAATTACTATACAAGATTCTAGAGTTTTGTATTATTCATGTATTCAGTTAATGAATAAACACTCTATGTAAGCTCTAACTAATCAAGATACAAGCCTTACGGAACAAATGATAAAAGTGAATCAGTCTCAAAATTAAAACGATTCTAACTATTAAACAACAAATCTAGTTTATTATTTGACCCTTGTGGTAAAACTGAATATTTTATAGACGCCCATTTAAAGTCATTCAGGCATTCCTGTGTTCACGTACTTATATTACGAAGTAATTTTATGGTATCCTATGGATAGAGCTCGAATTACTACACATTTTATTTATTTCAAAATTCAGTTCGAGAAATTTTATTTTTTTAAATAACTTCTAGTGTTAGACGATTGAACTACTTGAAAATATTATTCACACAAACAAATAAGTATTCAATTAAACTTGTCTAATTCACAGCTCTTTGTCAATCAGACTAATATATACAATCGAATTAAACAAATTACCAATAAAATAAACAAGAAAGACATAAAAGAAGAAGAATTTTAACATTGTTTCATACTACTGTTTCAACATTTCTGAGCGCTCTTTATGCATACGACCTCTAGTGGCTGAAAACATACTGATATTAATTTTCTAAAAGTTCTTAAAACGTTCGCTGCCGCATAAAAACAACTAAACATTCAAGAGGTGCCAAGAAGCAGTCACAGTGTACCAAACTCATATTCCACAAGAGAAATTTGGCTTTGAAACATAAATGTCTGTGACCCACCGGTGTATCACGCGATCCACAACTAAATGTTGGTTGTGACAAGTGGGGCACATGACAGCGAATGTGGCATATCGATAGTCGTGATTTACCTACCATAATTTTTATTTCTGTCTGTTAAAAAATACTATTAAAAGTCAACAAACAAATTAACTGATCTACTGTAAGAAATCTTTAATATTAAATTATATCATTGATAAATATTTTGAATGCTTGGAGTTTTCGAAAAATTAAAATTTTGCCACAGAACATTTAGCTGCAAGTTCAGATGAAAAATAAATTTTATATCAAAAGCTTTCCAGTAAAATAAATGGTAATCTAACCCAAGTATTTCTAACATCTTGACGAACTCTGCAAACACATATAGCAAGGGCACACAACTAGGGGTGCTGAAGGTGCGGCAGCACTACTAGATTAACATACGGGGGGGGGGGGTGCTGCGCATGCGTGGTTTCCCTCATATACGGGGTTGTCGATTTTTTTCAACAACTTGCAGCATTCTCACTACGATGACATCAAGAATATGTAAAATAATGTAATTTAAGCTGTAATTACATCGAAATAATGTCAGCAATATGAAATTAGCAAAGGTGTTTCGAAAACAAAGTTTATTAGTTAATTCCATATACCTTAGTAATTTGCTGTTACAATTCCTTTATTCTGATTTGTTTTCAAAGAAGAATACATAAACCCGTTGACATTTTTCCAGACTTGTTGATTTCGTTCCAACGTGTATATATTTATAATCGTTGCAAGCCGTTTTTATTATCTAATTGTTATAGATACTAGCATATCGAGGTCATCATCCCCAAAATTAGTAAAGACGTTACTAGCAAAGAATTAATAGCCTCTATTAGAGTAAGCATCCATCTTTCAACATTGGTATATGAAATTAACATCAAACACAATCTTTTGCTATTACTAACAAAACTGTTTCTCTGTTTGTTCATCTGTGCTATCAAAATAACATTTCTAGTATAAGCAAGAGACAAACTTGAACTGTAATAATGTTATTCATGGTGCAAGTTGTCTCGTGTCGTTATACCTATAGTAAATCTAGATGTAGACACCTCAGCTATACTTCGTTTGGTTTGTTTTGAATTTCGGGCAAGGCTACTCGAGAGATATCTGTGCCAGCCGTCCCCAATTTAGGATTGATAGACTAGAGGGAAAGTAGCTAGTCAACACCACCCAACGCCAACTGTTGGGCAACTCTTTTACCAATGAATAATTGGATTGACTATCACTTTATAACGCCTTCACGGCTGAAAGGGCTAGCATGTTCGATGACGGAGATTCGAACCCACGACTCGCAGATTGGGAGTCGGTCGCTCTAACCACCAGTCCTATACACTTCGTACTTTTCACCCCCCACCCCCACAACTATCCTAGTTGTTTAGAACAAAGTTTTAATAAACTCGTCAACGTTTTAAGAAAGAGGTCCAGATGATGATAAACATCAGGATTGGTTTTACACTGCAGATGTGGTGTGGTTGACATGTTTCAACATTTGCTTTAGTTCAAGGATTCTTAGAATTCACATCATGTGTGCTTTCCACTGCTAGCAACAGAATAATGGTTGTCTGTACTCTATTTTATCCTGTTCTACATATCAGCCTAATTTACGTGTGCAATGCTCATAACACCACATTCAATATTTTGTGTATTTCGCTTCCTTCCTTGGTACCTTACGCATGTTCGCAAAATATTTCGCCTTACAGACTTCCAAATGCATATACTGCAGTTACTACGATTCGGCAACTTTCTCTAAGAAAACAAACAGTTTTGTATGTGTGTGTGAGCATTTTTTTATTGTTTGTTTTTTAATAGAAGAATATAAATCATCGCTACTTTAATCTCGTCTAAGGGGTGTAAGCTTTCAATCTTGTAAGATTTTATTCCTTACAATGCCAGGGTAAAAGTCCCAGTGTGTGTGTGTGTTAACATTGTATCGACAATGTTATCATATCTTGTATGAATACTATATTGAGAACACAAGGTTATCCAGGAACTTGGATAAACAAAAGTTATCATTATCAGTTGAAGGACTCAGCAAGTTCATATTGTAACGAGAGGATTTGATACATAGAACCAATGTTAATAGTCTACGGTCATTAGTGAAACTAACGCAGGGAAATAAATATTCAAGTTAAGTATCAATATCTGTTTATAGTTATAAAAGGATAGGAATTGCAATTTTTTAACTTCAACGGCACCTTTCTGGGTCATAACCCCTAGGATCCAGGCAAGACTGTCCGTAATTTTGAACTACTGACCAAAAATAAAGGCAGTCATACAACAGCTCCCGCTACAAAAAGAGGATGTGTTTGGCAGATCCATGGTCCTGCTCGCCAACAACTAGGCCACGCTCGACCCTTTCCCCCATTGGAAGATGGGTTTATTTGTATTCATCCATCGGTGATTTCACCTTTCCTTTCCGAGCTGATTTCTGCTCGTCATTAGTGTTTTATGAAGAACAAATTAATATTCATTATAATTATCGTCCTATTGTTCATTACAGTTCTGCAGAGAAAGTAATATATATTATAAACTAAACCTTTCTCTTTTCTGGAGAATAAATGCATCATTTCAATACATAGTTCCATCATAACAGCATTATTATTTTCTATTTCCTGTGCTGGGCATTATTATTTGATTTTTATTTTTTTGCTACATAGTTTCAAAGCCACTAAAACAGACTGTTTATGAATTCATGGTAAGATCCGTTATTTTGTGATGTGATATTCATTCATCTGTTTGCAACACTCAAACATTGCTTGCTCCACATTCGTAGACATGTTGCTCTCGTTCAAGTAACTTTGTTCATTTTTATACAGACTCTCAGTGAGTCGCTGGGACAGCGGTAAGTCCAGATTTACAACGCTAAAATCACGGGTTCGGTGGACACAGCAGATAGCCCGATGTGGCTTTGCTATAAGAAAAATACACACCCTCAGTGAGTCACAAATAATTTATGGACTTACAACGTTGACGGATGGGTTCGATTCTTCGCCGTGGACAGAGGGCAGATATTCCAATGTGTAGCTTTGCATTAAATTTAATAAGCATCTTGATATAAGTACAAGCAGCACATACGTTAAAATAATCCAGTATTCAACACTTATTTGTGGTAAGCTGAATGATTGATTATTCTTCTCAAAATTATATATAACTATATGTTTTATAAAGGTTAATTATAATCTAATAACCATATATGTATGGAGAATGACTATCGTATTTCTAGTATTTCACGAAAACAACATTTTTTATGTATATTTGTTCATCTCCTTTAAGTATTACTTGATTAGCATTTTGTCTTCTGTATATTTTTAAGTTGTGTTTTAATAAGGTTTAATAAGTCTCAAAGACTTATTCCTACTTGGTCAACTGTATGACCTTGTAAATTACTAATTGTGGTGGTAAAAGTAATGAATTTTATCATGAATTTCGAGGTCTTCATGATTTTGACTTTATTATTTATATTGATACCAGTTTACTGTCTAGACTTGATTAAAACAATTCATGTCAATTGATTAATGTAAAATTTTCACGCGTATTTATTACGACGGAATTTAAATATGATAAGTAAACTCACAAAAGTATTCTATTACTTTTCTAAACATAGATAACAAATGAAGGTTGGTTAGCACAGAGTTGCGTGCGCTGCTGTAAACATATTGTTATGACAGCGTATCTCACGTCGTCACTTTTACGTCTCGACCACTACTATGCCAGTCGTATCTCAGCCGGCCTGATGAGCCCTGGTACTGAGCTAAAGGCT